AAACTCACCATACAAGTGCAGGAAGCAAGACACAACAGGGATGATGAGGCTGTCAAAAAGGCAGTGAATGAGTATGATGACACCCTTGAGAAGTATATTCCCGTGTTGATGGCCCAGGCCAAAATCTACTGGAACCTTGAAAATTACCCAATGGTGGAAAAGATCTTCCGCAAATCAGTGGAATTCTGTAGTGACCATGATGTGTGGAGGCTGAATGTGGCTCATGTTCTGTTCATGCAGGAAAACAAGTACAAAGAAGCCATAGGTTTTTATGAGCCCATCGTCAAGAAGCATTATGATAACATCCTGAATGTCAGTGCTATCGTGCTGGCTAACCTGTGTGTTTCATATATTATGACAAGTCAAAATGAAGAAGCCGAGGAGTTGATGAGGAAGATTGAAAAGGAGGAAGAGCAGCTCTCCTATGATGACCCAGACAAGAAAATCTACCATCTCTGCATTGTGAATTTGGTGATAGGAACGCTTTATTGTGCCAAAGGAAACTATGACTTTGGAATTTCTCGGGTTATCAAGAGCTTGGAACCTTATAGTAAAAAACTGGGAACTGATACCTGGTATTATGCCAAAAGATGCTTCCTGTCCTTATTAGAAAACATGTCTAAACACACGATCATGCTTCATGACAGTGTTGTTCAAGAATGTGTCCAGTTTCTAGAGCACTGTGAACTTTATGGTAGGAATATACCTGCCGTTATTGAACAACCCCTGGAAGAAGAAAGAATGCATATTGGAAAGAATACAGTCACATATGAATCCAGACAATTAAAAGCTTTGATTTATGAGATTATAGGATGGAATATATAGTAATGTCTGATAGTGGCTTTATATCTATGTTTTTCACTGTTTTATCTGTAGTTAGCTATTGGCATTTTTACATTTGTTATGTGTTTATATACTTTAAAATTTTAATAAAAATAATCTTTGTATAATCTTCCCAAAGTGAAATATATTAACTTTTATACCTAGGTTTATGAAAAACTCAAAACTGTATGGAGACATAGTGTCTAGTAACTTGTTAGCACCTCTGTTTCCTCTCCTTTGTTATCATTTGTGCTTTGTTGTATTTTGCGAGCTCTGCACAAGGATTACATTATCCAGGGACTTTGCACTGTTGAGCCCAGAACTCAGGAGTTAATGTATAGGATTTCTAGGCTTTTAATAATAATCTTAGGGATTGTGTGTCCTAATCTGACAACTTTCCCTCTTAACTATGTTAAGTTGTAATGAATATGTATTATATAGAGTTTAGGATGTTTTGTCAGTGTTTTTTTTGATATAAATGTAACATTTAATGTAACCAAAATACCTTACATTATAAATGTTTAGTTTTTTTTTTTTTAATGTGCAGGAGTCAGTGGGAAACCTTGTGCCTTTAACAAAGTTATGGTGCTGTGGCTGTAGAGACAATAAACAATTGTCAAAAGAATTTTACATGGTTTTCTTTTGTTCTATCTGTTAATAACTTGAATATATGAGCAGTTATACTGTTACTGTTTTTAATAACTCTGCTCTCATTTATCTTTAACAATGAGGAATAGCAGAAGTATCCTGAGAACTCAGTTCTTATATCCTGCCTTTGTGTTTGCAATTTAGGATATATTAACACTGGAGTTGTTTCCATGTTATAGCCTCGGGTAAGGAAAAATCTACACTATTCCCATGACCCCACCAAACCTCTCTTCTACCTCCATCACAGATGAAAATGTCAATCCTGAAACCTCATCTGGTAGATTCATAATGTTAGGTTCATGCCCACAACCCTTCCAATGAAAACCCCAGTCACTCTGCATAGGCATTTTATTTTCTGAACCATATAAGAACTTTATTTTTTGTTTCCCCATCCCTTTTCTCTCCATAAATCTGTCAACTCCAAGTCTTGACCTGGCTTAGAAAAAAAGCGAAGTAGGTTAAATGATATGAAATTGCTGATTTTGGAAGTTTTTAAACTACAAAACTAGCAAATTTTTATGGTTCAACCAAATGGCTTTCTACAGAAAGATAGTGAACCCTTGCTAGAATGAGATGATTTTTTTTTCCTTCAAGGAGAAATTACTTAGCCACATGGGTACCCAGATAGGGACCCACACAGGTACTCTGTAAGTCCTCTGTAATGTGACCACCTGGGTGCTCAAATTCTATTAGATCTATCAGAAAATGTGGCTTACAGACTTCAGACAATACTATAGAGCTACAGTCATCAAGACAGCATGGTGTTGGTACAAAAACAGACATATAGACCAGTAGAACAGAAAAGAGAGCCCAGAAATGAACCCACAAACTTTTGGTCAACTAATCTTCGACAAAGGAGGCAAGAATATACAATGGAATAAAGACAGTCTCTTCAGCAAATGGTGTTGGGAAAACTGGACAGCAGCATGTAAAGCAATGAAGCTAGAACACTCCCTTACACCATACACAAAAATGAACTCAAAATGGATCAAAGACTTAAACATAAGAAGAGATACAATAAACCTCCTAGAAGAAAATACAGGCAAAACATTATCTGACATACATCTCAAAAATGTTCTCCTAGAACAGTCTACTGAAGCAATAGAAATAAAAGCAAGAACAAACAAACGGGACCTAATGAAACTTACAAGCTTCTGCACAGCAAAGGAAACCATAAGTAAAACAAAAAGACAACCTACAAATGGGAGAAAATTTTTGCAAATGAAACCGACAAAGGCTTGATCTCCAGAATATATAAGCAGCTCATATGACTTAATAAGAAACAAGCAAACAACCCAATCCAAAAATGGGCAGAA